GGGCCCGAGGGTGGCTTGGGGGCGTGGCCAGACGGGGCGGGGTCAGATGCACAAGGCCAATCAGGAGCGGCGGCGGGGCTCAGGCTGGGAGACCCCTGCAGGAGAATTAAGGGGATTGGCCTTGTGGTTGCTGGGGAGGGACGAAGGGATAGGCAGTAAAAGAGGAGGAAAGGGAGGCTGGAAGAGGAGAGGCGGGGACCCAGGCTGGAAGAGGAGAGGCGGGGACCCAGAGGTCGAGGGTAGGAGGAGGCGCCGAATAGGGCCTCAGGCGCGGAACCTGGCACAGCAGACTTTCCGCCTTCCCGCAAAGTGCTCTACCTCCTTGGGGCCACAGCCCTTGGTGGCTCACGCAGGGATTCCAGCTCACCGCTCTGCGGACACGTGGTCCCTGAGGATCGGGCAGAGCCCGGGCCTCCAAGGAAGGGTGTGTAGGACTTGGCGGGCAGGGGAAGCAACATTTGTTGAACACTGCTGTGTACCCTGCAGTGTGAAGGGTGCTTCGGGAAATTCACGCCGCTAATTCAATCCTTTTAACCGCTTGAAGGGAAGGAAAGGGGGGGAGGAGGGGTGGGAGCAAGTGGGGACGGAGAGCGGGGAGAGAGGAAATAGGAGACAACGACACTGGGAGCAAAACAGGGAAAGGCAGACAGAAAGCCAGGAGGAAAAGGTACAGGGAGAAGTAATTCCAGAGGTGCTGGGGACGGGGAGGGAGTGGATCTCCTAGGAGAAGGAAGGAAGGGAAGTTTCTGTGTCACTCAGCATGGGGGCTACACGGGCCTAGAGGTCAGGGCTGTTGGACTCTGATTCTTGAGCCAATGTCCCCTCCAGGTCCCGCTGGCACAAACGCCCAATCCCTCCTGCTTTCCTGGCGGGTGTTTTCCCGCTTGGATATCATAGTTCTGGGGTGAGGAGCGGTTTGGACCGGAGTAACCCAGCCTTGCAAATAGCCAGGTGCAGGAAGCCTGAGCTATTATTTTAAGTCAACTCCTCCCCACACCGTCCTGTCCCAGGACGCCCCTCCTGGCCAATTAAGTTATAGATGGGGAGGAACGATGATTTTGCTCTTTATTCAACAAGTTTTGACCGACCATCTAAGAAGTTTTCTAGGAGCTGGGGACACAGTACCTGTTTTAGGGGCTGAGAATACAGTAATGAATAAACTAAGTGCCCTGCTCTTAGTTGGGGGTGGGAGGTAGGGGGTGCGGCAAACAGACAGACAGATAGACAGACATATCTGTGAAGCAGTGAGAAATGCTATGAAGAAAAAGCAAGCAGGACAAGGAGATAAAGACGGCCAGGACAGCTATTTTAATTTGGTGCCAACATTTAGGCAGACAGACCTACAGGAAGAGAGAGAGGGAGCCATGTGCACATCTGGGGGAAGAGTGTTCTAGTTAGAAGTAACAGCAAACACAGAGGCCCTGAGGCTAGCGTGTACTTGGCATGTCTGGAGTGTTAACATTCCTGTAACTTGGTGGCTCACCCCTTCCTGAGGCAGCCAGATCCCTTCAGAGTTTTGTTCTGGAGGCAGGGGTGGAGCTAAGCCGGCTAAAGTAATGCACAAAACTTTCCTGCATCTTCCTCCACCCCCACACATGCACCCTCCGATACTCACTGGAGCACTGCGGTCAGACTTCCCCAAATCCATGCAAATGGAGGGAAGAGGGGAAAGGAACCATGTGGGGGGCTCCTCCCTGCCTCTGACAAAATCCCTGCTGAATCAGGGTCCTGGGGGGCCTGTTATAACAACAGATGAGAACCCTTTGAAGGTGGCCTACTTAATGCTTGTGCACAATCGGGTGCGGGTTCCGCCCCCCCCCCCCCCCATTACATAATTCCTCTCCCAGCAGGCTCAGGGTCCAAAAGCGCTCAGCAGATCCTAGATACCTTCAGAAGGTAACCTGAATCTGGTTCTTGTCCCCAGTTATTTTGGGTCTTCCCATCAGCGGCTTCTGAATGAACCACAGTAGGTGGGCACTTAGCGACAGCCCCGCTGTTGTGAGGTCTAAGCTCAAGAGAGGGACTCGGCCAAGGCTCGCCAGAGTGGGAGCAGCCGGGCGGCCCACGGGAAGCCTCTGAAACACACATGCTCGTCCATTCAGAGGAAGGCGCAGTCAGGATGAATGTGCAGGGGTTTCGCCCGGGTCAGCCAGCACGGGGAAGGTGGCAGAGGGCAGGCAGAGAGTCCTGGTGTTGTTTCGGCCGCCTTGCGGTTGGGCTGCCTTGTTTTGGGCTGGACAGAACAGAAAGATACCTCCGCAGGGTATGCGATTCATCAGGACAAGTGGGCGGGAGCCTCCTGTCCCGTGGGTTTGCAGGCTCTCCATTTTTGCATTCCCGGCTCCTAGTACAGTGCCAGGCGCATTGTAGGTCCTGAGGGAAATCGGGGGCTGTGTGTAAACCCACTATGGGTATGGGAAACTGCAGGGGTGACTCTGCACACTCAGATGACCGACCACCCCGGGCCCTGGGCACCGTGGTTCTCCGGGTAGCCACATACGGGGCAGCCCATTGGGTTCAAATCTTGGGGCTACGGCTGAGTAACTGTGTGTGCTTGGGCAAGTGACTTAACCTCTCTGAGCCTTAGGTTCCTCTTCCATAAAATGAGGATAAAATACTTCCTGACAATACTGTTGTGATGACTGAATGAGATTGAAGTACTCAGAATGGGGTCTGACACATAGTAGGCACTAAATAACCATAAGCTATCGTTAATTATTGTTAACGTTCAGGACCTTAAGACGGGATAGGAACTGATGACCCTGGATCCTTGTCAACAATATCATTTCATTTGTCTCCGATGTCACTAGTCAATAATTCTATTACTTTCTGGCATTGCCACTTTCATGCCATGATTTTATGAGTTGCCAAGTCTATGATGAGCTTTGGCCCTGGGGACCCACCCTCTCCCTGCTCCTGGCGTGTGAGAGGACCCCCAAAGGCCCCAGCTCAGTGCCAGCCTCCCCGGCCAGACGCCCATCCATCTGTCCTGGTCCCTCCACCCCACCCTCACCATCTGTCTCTACCAGTGCCCATCGGTCTGGGTAGGTCTTGGCACTGGAAGATAAATAGCTTGTTATCAGAGGCTGTTGTGGAGGGTGATGGATTATATGCCATGAAGCCAGCCAGGCTGGGCTGGGCTGAGGGTAGGGGCACAGAGTACAAATCACTGGGGAATGAACGATATTCATCATGGCCTGTTGCCTCCCAGGACAGGTGACACCAGCGTGGGCTCAGAGATGTCACTCCTCCAGGGCACAACAAGCAGGTTAATGGGGGCTGACCTGGCCCCAGTGCACGGGGAGCTGTGGGCAGGACCTTTCATCTCAGACTCAGCCTGGTCTCTTCCCTCCCTGTCTCTCTTTGCTAGAACTCCAGGCTCTTGCTCAAGAATGTTCCTCTCCCCCATGGCCTAGCTTAGCCAACTTTTACAGCCAGATGCTCCGGACTCCCGGAACCTCCCCAGGCTTCCTCTTCCCGTCTCATTCCACCAAACCCACCTGCTGGTCTTCAGTCAACTCTAGCTTTGGCTCAGAGCATTGGCTCTTCTCTGCCGGCTCACGCAGTCTCTCAGAGACTCACTGTGAAACCTACTCCTTCAGGAAGCCTTCCTGGATTCATACCACCCCCGGTCTATCCTCCCTGCCACCTTCCTCGTAGAGAGGAATTCATGGCTCAATGCCAGCTATACAGTAAGCACTTTCAAAAGCCTGCTCGTGTTACCAACGATAATAAATAATACTCAGTAGTGGGGAGCCTGGGTGGCTCAGCTGGTTAAGCATCCGACTTCAGCTCAGGTCATGATCTCACCGCTCATGAGTTCGCGCCCCATGTCAGGCTCTGTGCTGAGAGCTCAGAGCCTGGAGCCTGCTTCCGATTCTGCGTCTCCCTCTCTCCCTGCCCCTCACCCACTCACGCGCTGTCTCTTTCTCTCAAAAAATAAATAAACTTAAAAAAAATAATACCCGGTAGTGGTAGGCTCTCTATAGTTTGTGACATATTGCCACAAAACTTAGTGCATTTAATTGTTACAGATCCTTGGGAGTTAACACCCCTCCCTGACTTTACAGTCTGGGCAAAGTGAGGCCCAAGGGGGTCAAGGGCATGCTCATTTCTGTGGCTACTAGAAGGGTCCCTGGGGCAGAAGGACAGGACGGTGCCACTTTAAGCATGGATCCAGTTAGCCTTTTCCAAGCCCAGTGCTCTTCCTCTCCCCTCCCCAGGCTCCCCCCACAGTAAGAGACCAGCAGGCCAGGAGGCAGCCGCTCCAAGGTGTGGAAGCCTCCTCTCCCCGCAGGCCCAGGATCGGAAACCAATGCCTTCTGCTTCCCGGCTGGTGCACAGTGTCCACCTCCCCGCCAGCATGCCCCTTGCGTTTTGCTCCATAGTACATGTGATGTGGGCCTGACTCCCAGACCAGACCGTGAGCCCCTTTTTGTCCCTCTCATGCCTTGCATGGGGCCCGGGACACAGTAGCTGCTCAATTAATGAGTTGGGTTGAATCAAGGGGAGACCTGAAGAGGAAACGGAGTCACCAAAGAACAGCGAGCCTCCCAAAGACCCTCGGGTGCAGGGGACCCCCTCACCTTCATGGGCAGCAGCACCCCCAGGACCCTGGTTAGAGTGGCCGGGGCGAGGGTGAGGGGCCCACACCCGAAGCTGGCAAAGACGTGGCCTCAGAAACCAAAGACCTGGCTCTCCCGTGCATCAGTCTCCTCACCTGTACAAATGCCGAGTCTTAAACTCTTGTGAGAAGTAAGATAATCATCCCAAAGGGCTTTGTCAATGGTGTGTGTATACAAGTCATTAGTAATATCTGCAATTATGCAGTAGTTTCTACTGAGGAGGCATAGAGCACGGGGTTAAAAAGTGTATCTGGGAGCCAGGCCGCCTAGGCTCAAATCCTGGCTCTGGGACTTACTCGTTTTTCTCTGAGCCTCAGTTTCCTTAGGTGTAAGTGAAAATGGGGGTAACGTATCTCAAACGCCTCCAACAGTACCTGGCGTGTAGCTAGCACCCTACAGTATTGCGCTTTGGGCATTTTTAGCAGCACAGAAGAGCAGCCTTGACTTCCTCGCGGGTGCCTGAGTCACCGCCCAGCCCTCCGCTCTGTTGGTTCTCACGGCAAGGGCTGGGGCGACTTCCCCTGTGGCCCACCCCAGAGCCGGGGAGATAACCGCGTGGCGCACTTGCCACAGGACCCTCCTGTGCCCATGGTAGATGCTGTGATCTCACCGCAGCTCTCCTTCCCACCCTACTGACGCCAACTTTAGCACGCTCCTCCCACAGTGCTCTGCGGAGACCTGACAAATTGCGGGCAGCTCTGGAGAGGAAATCCCTCTGCTGCCCCTGCCTTAGGGCATGGCTCTGTGTGCAGGCCCTGGGGGACCCGGGGGCGGGGAGGGGGTGGGGGGCTGTGGTGACCTGGGATCTTGCAGGATCAGGGGAGGGGGACTCACCGGAGATATTGCTGGCCAGGGACAGGCTCTCGCAGGGCTGGTCCTGGAAGGAGGCGGAGATGGCGTTCAGCCCCAGGAGGAGAAGGGCCTGTGGACACAGGGAGACGAGGGACAGGGTGAGACCGTGCCGTGAGCTTCCTGCTTTCCCTCGCTTCTGTCTCCTGCATGTCTCTTCCCAGACACCCCATCCCACCTTGCCCTCCCCCTGCCCCCATGTCATCTGTGCCTGGAAGGGCTTGGAAGGGAGGCTGGTAACAAGAGCGGGAGCCCAAGTTCCCAGGACAATGGTGAACCTTCTCCCTGACATTCACTGAGGCTGTGCCCGGGGCAGCCACCTCCATCCCCATGGGATCCCAAGGATGACCCAACTGTGTCCCAACACACGCGCACACACACACACACACTCACACACTCACACCCGCCTGCTGAGCACTCGGGGGCTCACAGATATTCTTTAATAGTGCACCTGCCGGCCTCCCTCCCGGGCTGCAGGCGGTCGGGCCCAGTTTAACGAGCTGCTTCAGGCTCTCATACCCACCCAGCTAATTACCAGTCGCTACAAATTGTGCCTCCAGGTTCACGGAGCCCTTTTACATCTGCCATGGTACTTAACTCTCCCTGGGGCCGGCATGGCTGTCCCCGTTTGCAGATGAGGAAACTGAGTGAAGGGGTACTTGTGTCTGGAAAGGGGGCCTGCCTTATTCCAGGGAGAACTTTTGCCCCTTATCCTCCCCGGGGGCTCCCTGTCACTCTGATTCCAGAATTTAGGTCACTTGGGAGGAGAGTGGCATGGGCCCCACACCAGCAGGGCTGCCCCTTCAACTAGCACCTTCCCACCATCATTGCGTCCCCTTTGAGGCCACCACCCTCCCATGGATTTAGCGTCAAAAGAGACATGGCATCCAGCCCTGTGTTGCCAGGGGCAGGTTACTTGGCCTCTCTGGGCCTCGGTTTCCTCACCTGTAAATGGCCCTCCCTCCCAGGTTCCCATGAGGCAGTGTGTATAGAGAAGTCCTCTGTTCACTGCATTCAAATGTGCTGACACTACACTGTGTTTCAGGTCTACAACAGGCACTCAACAGGGCACGTTGATTGTTATTGAGTCATCGGTTAGTGGCAAGGCAGTTGTCTCCCCTGGGACTTGATTTTCAAGGGTATTAAGAAGCACATTGAGGGCTGGGGGCGGGGGGCGGGCCTTGTAACCAGCCTCCTCCTTCCATCTGTTGGACGTGGGTGCCGAGGTCCAGCAAAGCTCTGTCTGCCTTTTTAAATTTCTTTCAATGTTTATTCATTTATTTTGAGAGAGAACGAGAGGGGGAGGGGCGGGAAGGGGGGAGAGAGTCTCACACAGGCTCCACACTCAGCATGGAGTCTGACACGGGGCTTGATCTCACGACCGTGAGATCATGACCTGAGCCCGAATCAAGAGTTGGATGCTTACCCAACTGACCCACCCAGGCGCCCCTCAAAAACTTTTTTAAAAAGACAAACTCAGTAACAGTCTGGGCGTATTGGAGCTTGGGGTAAAAGGGAAAATCAGTGATAATATTAAAATATTGTTTATCATGATTATGAGATTTTGGACACCCTTACATTTTGTGCTTGGGGAGAATGACTCATTCGCCTCACCCAAGTCCCGGCCCTGCCCTGAGCTCCCCAAGCTGGACACCCCTTATCCCATCCCTCCCCATGTTGTATATCTTCCCTTCCCTTGGACTCCTCCCCACTCACCCTTTCGAACCTCAGGACCTTCCCCCAGTCCTCAGAAGCAACCTGACCTGCCCTTTCCCAGAAGCGAGCCTTCCCTGCTCACTAGCCATGAATATCCGCTCCCACCCTGCCCCCCCATTA